GCCTTGAACTCAGAGATCCGCCTGCCTCTGCCTCCCAAGTGCTGGGATTAAAGGTGTGCACTACCACACCTGGGTAACATTTCCCTTTTATAGATGTCTACATGAGTAATCTTATTGGATTCTTTCAATAACACAGAAACATTCACATTAAACAGGCAGGCATCACATAACAAAATTTTTTTAAAAAAGAGTTCTTTTATTTGTATGTGTGTATTGTCTATGTAAGTCCATCTGTGTCATGCAAGCAAGGCCCAGCAAGGCCAAAAGAGTGTTGGATCTCCTGGAACTGGAGTTATGGACAATTGTTAGCTGCAACGTGGATGCCACCCTAGTCCTCTGTAACTGCAGCAAGTGCTCTTAAGCGCTGAGTCATTTTTCCAGCCCTCTGAAAGTACTCTTAACATTCTTCCAGTTTTCAAATAAAGGTACTAGCTACCACATTGTTAGTTAATAATGCAAGCAAGTAAAAATAAATCATTACAACTGAACATCTAAGAAAATCAAAACAAGAATTAGGACATGCTTAAGTAGTAAAGAAATGAGACTGCTAAGAGTAGGGCATTAACAGCTCAGCTCTAAATTCTTAAAGCCAGTGACAAATCAATAAAACCAAATCAAGCCAACTCACCTGGTCTTGGCCCTCGAGGAGGGAAACCAGGTCGTTCTCGAGGTCGCTGTTCACGAACTCGTGGTGGTTGAGACTGAACTTCTGGTTTAGCTTCAACTCTTGGCTAAAATATAATGGAAAACACACATTATGAAGAAACACCTACTACAGGAGAAAAACCAACAAAAGTAACTATTAGCAAGTCACTAGCAGGGATAGGGATGTTAATTTAAGCTTATAATGCTTTAAACATAATCTCCTATATTTGAAAAGTAATTTTTAAAAGGTTTTCTGTACCAAGCTAGGACTGTAGGGTAGATTTTATTTTCCCACTCAAAACTATAATTCACAATAAGCTGCTTTTGCACAATCACTCTTTAAAATTAAAATTATAATCACAACAAAACAGCATAAGTCATTGCTACAAAAATCACAAAAATGCAAGATGAGCAACTCCATATAAATATATAAACAAAATTAAAAGTGTTCTTAGAAAGATAAGAATTAAGAAACTTAATTCTTCAGTTTCTAGTTTGCTGCCTTCAGACATTAACAGTGCTCAGTCATATCTCGTAACCCCATTTTCAATCTTGAAACCAGTATTTTAATAATTCAAACACACAATTTAGGTCACACTTATACCTTCAGGGTTTTTTGTTGTCTGAGACAATGTGTCACTACTTAGCCCCTGGATGACCTGGAACTTGCTACACAGAACTTGCTATACAGACCAGGCTAGCCTTGAACTCAGAGTTCCACCTGTCTTGCCTCTGCCTTGAGTGCTAGGACTGCAAGCACATTTCACCATGCCCAGAATATCTTTAGGTTTGAAGTAACAACAAAAAAGATAGGGAGTTAGGCACGGTGGCATATGCCTATAATCCCAGTACTCTGAAGGCTGAGAGAGGAGAATCTTGAATTTGAAGCCAGCTTGAACTAGCAAAGAAAAAAAAAAAAAAAGTCAAACAATAAAAGGAATATTACATAGCATCTCAAATTATCACATAGCATTTCAAATAGACAAAGTCATCCTTTAGATCATTGTTTCCTTCTGAAAAGGATGCACATTTAATTCAGAGTATTGACCTCAATAATTTTTTTCCTAACTGCTGGAGAGTGATAGGACTACTTAAGTTATCTTCCATAAATGTTCTAAAACACATGAAGCATTTTCTTCTCACCCTCTGTATGGTCCAAGGATGTTGAAATTCTCAACAGAATACAGAGATATGTCCCACAAACTAAGAGCTAGCAATTAAATCTTTTGAGGACTTTGGTCTAGACAGCAACTCAACTTTTCATTAGTTATATAACTGGGATGTTACAATTTGTAACAAGGATAAATCTGGATATTAAAAAGAAAATCATGCTTCTTTCAAAAATGACTATTGCCAATGATTACAGCCACTGTAATTGTAACACAGGTTTTATTTGCAACATTAGCAGTATTTTAGAAGATCTGCCTGCTTCTTCCAACCTATTTCTTCCATGTAGGGCAGAGTTTTCTACACGGTAAAACTGTTTCACAAGTTCCAGGATTTGCTAGTTTAAAAATGAATTTAATTTTCACTTTCTGTTATTTATGTATTTATGCCTTTAAGGCCTATTTATCATAATTGTGTGGTGGGGGGGAAATCCTTAGGACAAGTTCTCACTGTGTAGCCCAGGCTGACCTCAAACTTGTGATCCTCCTACCTCAACCTGTCTACTGCTATAGTCGACATTAATTTTACATCTCTGAAAGAAGCAAGCTCAGTGCTTACTTCTGACACAGATGTTCGGCAACTACTGATCCACTGAAAATTTAATTAGGCTTCCAGTTTCCCTGACCCAAAATATGCAGAATAATCCATATCTGACAATGAGACCTAATAATATCTATGAAATCACCGTTGTCTGCATCTGTAGTTTGTACTATGTAATCTAAAATGCGATGCCAGAAGGAGTGGAAGAAAACTTCCACTAATGGAGTCTCTTAGGAGACCTTACTTCACTTTGTGGGTCAAAGAGAACTGAACAGATGTATTCTGTTCATAGTTTTATTTAGTAGCACTACTGTCCCTATTATTGAAAATTAAATAGCAAATACACCTTGCATCTAAAATTTTCAGAAAGACTTAAAGACTGTCCACCAATCCAAATATTATCAAATAGCTTGAAGCACTGACTGACCATGACAGATTTAAATTCCTTCCACAAGATATTACCAAAGTAAGCTCTCAAAACAATTTAAAATTAAAATCAGATAACTTAAAGAATTTCACAGATCTTACAAATAATTCCTAATATTCATTTACCAACTTCAATTCTGTAAGGAGACAAATAATGCTGGTGCATAAAAAAATAAAATAAAAAGAGACCAAAAAAAAAGCTAAGAATTGTTCCTTCCAGTAACTCAAACAAATTTCAAGTAAGTCTTAGGATTCTTCATGCCCAATGATCAAAACTATCTATTTCAAAGAGAGAAAGTGGCTAGTATCCTATATGCTATTAGGGCTTTAAAATTAACTTCATGTAACCTGAAAGTATGATCTTTCAAATCTGTCAATAACAATCCCACAAATGTCAAACAGAATATAAAATAAAAGTGGACAAAAATCAAGTCAATAAAAGATAACACCACAACCATAAACAATTCCTCAAACACAAACTATTAAGGTAAATCAATTTCCAGCAAAACTTTTAACAAGAACTTAACTTACCTACTTCTAACTTAGTATCTATGATTACCCTAGATATAAGTAGACTTAATTTCCTTTTACCAAATAATCCATTTAAAAGAAATGAATGCTCTTCAAAAGTAGTAAGGTTGAAGGGGTGCTAAATCAGTGAAAAGATGAAATTTATTCTACATATGGCTTAAAGACATCAAAAAATTCTGTATGTGTATGCCTGTGTATGGTATGTGCACCGGAGTGCAGCTGCCTGTGGAGGCCAGGTGTCAGATACCCTGGAGCTGCAGTTAAGGTAGCTGGGAGCCATCTCTCCAGCCCCCTGAAAATTAAATTTTAGTCTTTTAAAAAAATATTTATTTTATTTTTATTGGTCTTTTTAAGATAGGGTCTTCCCTGTAGTCCCAGATGACCTAGAACTATGTATACCAGGCTGGCCTTGAACTCAGAGATCCACCTGCCTCTCTCTGCCTCCTGAGTGCGGGGCCATCACACCTAACTTTATTATTTTAATTTTGTGTGTGTGTGTATTGCCTGCATGTATGTAAGTGCACTCGTGCAGTGCCAAAGCCTGCAGAAGACAGAAGAGGCCATTGAATCCCCTGGAACTGGAGTTATGTACAGATGTTAGCTGTCATGTAGGTGCTAGTATTTGAACCCGAGTCTTCTACAAGAACATCCAGTGTTCTTAACCACTGTGCCATCTCTCTAGCCCCCGACTTTTTTTTTTTTTTTTTTTTTTTTTTTTTTTTTTTTTTTTTTTTGATTTTTTTTTTTTTTTGGTCTTTTTGAGACAGGGTCTCCCTGTAGCCCTAGCTGGCCTGGCACTCACCATGTAGACCAGGCCATAGAGATTCATTTGCCTCTGCCTTCTGGATGCTGGAACTAACGGCATGCACCACCACACTCAGCCTATTTTTAGACATTTCTTAATCGAGTGAGAAATACAACTTAAGTTTCCTAGAATGTGAAAAACAACTTTTAAAATGACTCAAAATTTAAGATACAGTGAACAGTCATTTTCCTAAGCAAGAGGCCACTCTAATTAAAGTTAAGACATACCTTAAGTACTACTTAATTTAATTTACTCTCCAGCAAGAGTGTATGCTGCATATACCACACATTTAGTGTATGTCCCTACATAAATTCAAAAGCCAGTCCTGTATTTCAGCTGTCTGACCGTGGGTGAGTTACTTGAGGCCTCGATGTGCTATCTCTAAAATGGGAATGTTAAGGGTAACTTATCATGAAGGGTGGGGGTTTTTTTGTTTTTGTTTTCTCCCCCCTTTTTGAGACCGCTGATCTGGAACTTGCTATGAAGACCAGGTTGGCATCATCTCTCAAAGATCCACCCACCTCTACCTCCTGGGATTAAAGGTATGCGCCACCACACCCTGCATGAAGGGTATTTTTTACAGTGAAAATTTTTGACTAATGTACTTAATATAAAATGGCTAATTAATGGCAAATGAAAGGCATACTAAGCATTAGTTATTTATCTAGTAACAATAAAAATGTCACCAAATCCCTGAAATGATACAACTCAAAAGACTCCAAATCCAAATTTTATGGGAATCAAGATTTCAAAACAAAGTCACAAGTCATTCATCAGGGCTACAGATGGGTTTGAGAAGTACAAACAGTACTGGGCAACCTAATTTTCTTCAGTAAGATGGAACTTTAGTTTGTGAGTTAATGTAACCAACTTTTAAGTATTTGAAAAAGAAACCAATATTCTGGCACCATGTATTCTATTATATAGAGGACTATAAAACACTACAGGACTATGAATTATTATTCCTAAAACTTCATGTATCTTATTGCTAAAAGCATCTAAAAATGCATACACTCAACACTTTAAATGTAAATTTTCTAGTAAAATGAAACTCAAAATGTAGGGGGAAGTGATTAGACACCCTTTAAATATGCCAATAACCTTAATTCAAATTTAAACTGTATCTCAAGCATCATAAAGTGCCTATTTTCACAGCATTGGAAAGCTCTGAAATGGGTAGGATGACAAACAGACACAAAGCAGAATGCTGAAATGACTGGTTCAAGTGAACACTACAGTCCTAAGTTGGTACAGGCTTCAACGGAATGGTGTGAACCACTTATAGACTAAGAACTTAGGCAATTTTTTCAAGTTTTCTATTTTTTTAAAACAATGACTTTTTTAATGCCATACTATTTTGTTCCCTTCCAAGTTTCTTACCTAAAATATTCTTGTTAAAAGAATATTTTCAAAAGGAACATGTTTTTAAAGAAGCCTTTTCAAAATGACATTATATATTGGTAAAACCAACTTAATTTGTATTTCACACACCCAAGCCCCAAATACCACCTCTGTAGATGATTAATAGAGACTTGGCATTTAAAGTGGGTGTAATGACATTTAATACATTTTTGTATGTTTATTAATCCTTAAAATGTAGTTTAAAAAATAAGCAATTGGCAAATGTAACAAGGATACAATCCAATGTGTTCACAGATTGGTTACCTGTGAGACTGGTGCTTTAACATGGGGTGGAATTCCAGAGGAAGAAACAGTACCACTAGGAGGCAGGTTTTTACTGGTCACTGAAGCCCAGGAGAAAGCCTGCAGGAAATGCAACAAACCTAGACTACTAATCATGGAAACCACCAACATTTCTATAGGGAAACTTCCAAATAAAGAATTTTTCTTCATTTCTAAACTATTGCTCTATACTGGAGGACTCCTAAAGGAAAGGCACACACACACATGCCAGTCTATGTGCCAGCTTTCAAATCTCATTATGCAAGGTAATTTATGACTGTTTTGTCTCAACTATTAAATAAAACCACAAGCAAGTTCCTACATACTCTTAAGTACATAAGCAAGTGGCAAACAAAACCACTATCAACTAAACATGCTAGAAAAAAAATCTGAACCTGACAGAACTGATTTCTTTCCCCTTCGTGGGGAAGATAGGGTGTGTGAGTGATGGTGTTAAAGGGTAAAGGTAAAGATAGAAAAGAACAGAGTACTAGTTGGAAACTTTAACAGACACTCACAAATTGACAAGGAATCTCCTCTTCTCACTGCCCAATATACTTTAACCTTCTACTTTACAGAGACAAAAGAAGTTTTAGATGATATACTATGGGTGTCACACATTTTACATGTTAATTGGTGTAGAAAGGAAACTGATTCCATTTAAATCACAAACAGGTAAATTCAGTTGAGACATTGCATGACTCCTGACGCATCAGAAGGGAAGAGCAACTGACAGCCTTACACATGAACTCCAATAATTTCATATAAGTTACTAAACAATGCATACAGAGTAATCTTGTGTTATAAATTTCATTCTTAGGAATATTTTGGGGTGGAAAGAAACACATCTCCGTAAGATAACAAAAACTCCAGCTTATTTCATATATATATATAAAGTATACTTTACTATATTCAATAAACATAATAAAACCAAAGTCATGCTTCATTAATGGCACCAAAGAGGAAAGTGTGAGGTTAAAGGTCTGAAAAGTTCCTTTGATCTAACCTTTGGTGGTTCTTGAGGCAAAGAAACAGGTTCAGCAGGAGGAGGAGTAGTAGACTTCTCCTCTAAGTCTTCTAAGTTTTTCTCTTCCACTTGTGGCTTCAGTTCTTCAGTCTTTATTTCAGATTCTGGCTCTGGTTCGGGTTCATGAGAGGATTCTTCTAAAGGTTCCTCTATGCCATTACTACAATAAAATATTTAGGTCACTATTCAGTATGAATAAAATGAAGAGTTCAATTAAGATAAAATTTTGTTTCTCTCCAATCTAACAGGCATAACTAGTTATTTGCCAGTAACTTATGTTCTATAGTTATAAGGAGTTGGGTTTTATGCACACATATATGTGATATAAACGACAGAGCTCAAGGTCTGCCTGCTGTGCACAGATCACACAAACTGTCTACTACTAAACCTCACCTCCAAACCTCCACATTATTTTAAAACTAGATTTACCAGCCAGGCAGCTTTAGTCCCAGCATTTGGGAGGCAGAGGCAGAGGCAGGCAGATCTCTGTGAGTTTAAGGCCAGCCTGGTCTACATTGTGAATTCCAGGCCAGCTGGGGAGACCCTGTCTCAAAAAGACCAAAATACCAACACAAAAACAAAACACAAGATTACCAGTATTTACTTTACTGTTAAAAATAAATCTCATGTTTGTTCATTGAATTTTATTATTATTATATGCTGTAAGTGTGTGTGTACACCAAAGTCGACCTATGGTGGTCGGAGGATAACTGTGGAGTAGGTTCTCTCCTCTCAACTTTAAATGGGTTCCTGGAATAGAACTTAAAATACCAGGCTTTCAAGGTAAGCACCTTTACTCACTAAGCCACCTCTCTGACCCTTAAACAGCATGTTTTATATAAAAATAATAAACTTGGGCTGGAGAGATGGCTCAGTGGTTAAGAACACTGGTTGTGCTTACAGAAGACCCAGGTTCCAATCCCAGCACCCACATAGCAACTAACAACTGTTCATAACTCAGTCCCAGGGGATCCGACAGCCTCTTCTGACCTCCAAGGGCATTGTACAACACAGGTGCACTTACCTACATGCAAATACATGCATACACATAAAATAAAAATAAATAAAATTTAAAAAAAAACAAAAACAAAATCTTACCATGTTATCCTAAACATTCTGTGTTGAGTAATCAATCATGGTCTTGATACAGTCTATGTTGAATTTTAAATTAAGTAAAATAATTTTTTCTACTGCAATACGACGAATTTCAAATACTGGCTTAATTTTGCCATTTTAACAGAAATGTATTTTCAGGGGCTGAGTGTATAGTTCCATAGCAGAACACATAGTATGTCTGAAGCCCTAGGTTATTAATCCCTAGCACAAGGGGGAAAAAAATTAACGGCCAACAGTAATCCTAGAAACAAAAACAACCTTGCAATTACACTACAGGTCAGATCAAATGTAACCTTGCAACTGCTGGTCTTACGTCACAGGGTGAGCTTCATAGTAAGCACTGGTAGCATTTTCTTGCACAGGTTCAGGAGATGGCTGCCTTTCTTCTTGCTCCTCTTCTACTTCATCTTCTGATTCTGACAATACAGATTATGTCAGCTCTCTTAAGAAGGCTCACATAATTTCTAACATACATATCTTACATAATTTCTAACATCTTAGTATGTTTAAGGAAGTGGTATGGTAGTTTTAAAAAGTTGGTAAACTTACAAAGGCATTCACAGCAATATTCCCTGTTCTCCCCCCAAATGAAGAGAACAAAACAAACAGGACAAAGTTTGACTATGCGTTATTTTAACAAGATGTTATCAGTAAAGAAAGAAAAAGGTTGGAAGTAAGCGAAACCCCATTTACTTTCTGCTGTCACACCTATTTAATGGAGTAGTAATGATAAAGAGATGGAAAACAAAACAAATGTATCAGTGGAAGATCTATAATAACTATAATACAGCTACAACATGAACAGGCAAGAGAAAGAGAGCAAAAAGAAAATTTTTATCAACTCAAGTTACATTTTGATAAAAGTACTGGAGTCCCAAACAATTAACTCTATGTGAGGTACCCAACTCTTGGTTACCTATACAGGCTGAGACTGTATGTAGAGAAAGAATCTTTCTACTTCCTATGTTTGACTTCTACATAATTTCATATAATACATATTTATATTTTCCCTAACAAAATTAAAGGGAGAAAAGAGGAGTGTGATTCAATTAAAAAGGCAAATTTCCAAGAGTTTTATACTTACAGAAATTAAGGAATAAAGACTATTGACAGAACCTTTTACCTTCAAGGTAAGCTCACCTTCATCAAGTTCTGGTTCAGAATCACCAAATACTTCATCTTCATAACGAAACATATCATTGTGAACATAAAATTTATTTGGAACAGATCCCTATAGGAAAACAATATACAAGTAGTCCATGAATACCCGTTAAGTGTAAGTATCCACAATATCTTTGAATTACACCTGAAAATACTCCTGCAATATATAATCTCAGTATTTTTTTTTGAGATAGAGTCTCCCTGTAGCCCCAGCTGGCCTGGAACTCACTGTGTAGAGAGATCAGCACACAGAAGGCACAGG